CCAAGCCAGATAAGGTCTGAGATTTTAAATCCTCCCTTGAAAGACTTTGCTGGATGTGAATGAACAGAATTCACAGAAAATTAATAAAAGGGTTTTTTTGTCAGGAACCAGGAGTTTGCTTCATGTTCTTGGGAAGCCTAGGACCGAACACCATCAGGAATTACCAGAGTTGTTAGATCAGGACATTGAAAAAAATACCCTGGAAAGTAGCAATAGAGAATCACTTCCACTTTGCTGTGAAGAAAACTCTCATGTTCTCATCAGGAATTGGGCCAGATGTCTGTTTATTTTGTTTTAACTAGCTGGAGACTAGCAATAGCACTTAGACTTATATGCCCTCTCTAAGTGCTTTACAGAGTCAGCCTATTGCCCACAATAATCTGGGTCTTCATTTTACCAACCTCAGAAGACTGGAAGGCTGAGTCAACCTTCAGCTGGTGAGACTCGAACTGCCAAATTGCTGGCAATTGGCAGTCTGCAGAAGTAGCCTGCAGTACTGCAGTCTAACCACTGCGCCACCACAGCTCTTACATATTAAGACAGTCTTATGAGGAATGGATGGCTTTTACAGAGGACACTGAATGAAGCAGTTTATCTGAACTTTTTTTCAGTCTGGATCCATGCCAGGGCACAGCACTGAAACAACATTGACCACATTTGATAACCTTTGGAGCGCTCAGGAGGAAACAATCATTCTGGCCATCTTGGGCCTCTCAACAGCTTTCAGTAGCATTGACCATGGTGTCCTTGTGCACTAGCTTCGGGGTTCGGAGTGGGAGGCACTGTTTTTATAGTAGTTCTCCTTCCTCCATGACTGGTTCCAATCGGTGGTGTTAGAAGAGGAAGGGCCAAGCTCTAGGCCCCTGCAATAGGAAGGTGCCTTGGGCTAAAGCCTCTCACCAATCTTTTTTTTAAACATCCACGTGAAATCAGTAGGGCAGATCATATGTCATTACGGGGTTTGGTATCATCAGTATACCCAATTATGTATCTCCACCCCATGCCACATAAGTGGAGTGGTGGCGGTGCTAGTCAAGTGCCCGGAGGCTGTTATGGGTCTGGATGCGAAAGAACTGGCGTCAAATCAATCCTGCAAGATGGAACGGCTATGGGGTTTTGGCACCCCAGGATCAGATATTTCATCATTCATCATCTAGACAGGGTGGCACTTTCCTGGATTGAGTTAGTGCACACTTAATGCTCAACCATGGTCCTCCTGGACTCATGGCTCCTATTCGAGCAGATGGCAGCTGTGGCTAGGGAGACCTTTGCACAGGTTTGGTGTGCCAGTTGGGCCCATTCCTGGAGCAGAACAGCTTGTCCATGGTCAGTCATGCCTTGGTCATCTCCCACCTGGATTACTGCAATGTTTTCTACAGGGGGCTTCCATTGAAGACTTACACAGAAAGCTCAACAGGTCCAGAATGCAGTAGCAAGTACAGTAATGAGGGTCCCCTAGGTTTCTCCCTATAACACCTGCACTGGCTTCCACTACAACTCAAGGTGCTCATCATCAGCTTTATATGGCATGGGGCCAGGCTACCTGCAGATTGCTTTTCCCTAAGGACACCCACCCATCCTAGCAAGTCAGATAGGGTAAGCTTTATAGACCTGGCTCTTCCCACAAGCGCTGGAAATTTAGATCATGGCGTATTAGCATTAACTGGTGCCAGGCTTTTGCTGTTTTTAATGTTTTATGTGTTAACTTTTTGAGTTTTTAGATTTTAAAATGATTTTATCTCTTTTCATTTTTTTAAATTTTTGATTGAGAACTGCCCAGAGTTGGGTGGCTCAATATTTTTAAACAAATAATTAATTATTCCCATCATGAGAAAGACTGATTCCCAGCAAATCTTTATTTTCAAGAATATAGAGACCAATGTCATGTCAGTAATGTAACCTGGCCTGAACCCTGATCCAGGGAGGACCTAATACCCTGACAACAATTATTCCTAAAAACAGAAATTTGGAGACCGAATGAAACTTTATGGGGTCCAAGGATGCCCATTTGAGAAGGGGCAAACTCCTGCCCTTTTCAAGACAGGCAAGACCACCCATCCTGCAATGAATTACCAACCGCAGGTTGGGCCCAACTATATGCCACTACAGTACCTAGGAGGGCTTGGTCGAACAGGAGACATGGATCCCAGGAGAGACCAGAAGCGCTGAGGCAAGAACAGCTGGTGAAATAGTGAGCTCTGCCGAGCTCTGCAAAAATCCAGCCGGCAAGCCGCCATCGAGAAGTCCTTTGCAGACCGGAACTGTCCTGAAGGGCCGGGGCACAAGGAGAGGTGTTTTGGGTGACTGCAGGGAGCGAGGCAAGCTCCCCATCAGGTCCAATTCAAGCTCTTTAAAGATCGGTGGCAGGGATGGCGGCCATCTTCGAATGACTGCTCTGGAGCCGGAGCATGGGGAACAAGACTTGTGCAGGAGCGGAGGATACGGACGGAGTGTTAGATCTGGAGGAAGACTGGCCGATATAAGATCAAGAGAAACTAATTTTGGTGCTTAAAAATATTCCGGAGGTAAATGTCACCCAGAATACAGAGGGAGGAAAGAAAGGAGAGAATTAGCTATCGATGATAAAATACCAAGCCCAAGGAGAATTTGGCTAATAAAACTGGAACTGGAAAAACCTAAAACTATCCAAGGGAAGATTAGGAGAATTTGAATTTGGAGCTTTTGATTTGACTTTTGGCAAGTTTCGACAAATTAGTGACCTGATTGTGGAGAAGAACAACAAAAGCCACCTACTGGAGAGAAGAAACACATGACCATTTTTTAATAAACAATTTTTATTTATTTTTGAACAAAGACAAACAAACATAAAAATAAAAAAGCCATCTTCCATTACAAATTGTAGAAAGTGTGTCAGTTGGTTGCAGTATTTCTATGCATCTCTTCCATAGTCATCACCTGCTTTTCATATCAAATCGCATATTTTTAATTCACCTNCTTTTCAGTTTTGTATATATATCTTTTCCTTCAGATTGGAAATTCTAAGCTGCACTATAAATTTGTTGAGACCATACATATGATTTCAAAGGCAGAAAATTTAATTTTTTTAATGTGCTGTTTATCAGTATTGATAAAAGCAATAGCAGGCACCTTAGGCCATGAAATATATACCAATCATAGTTATTCCAAATTTTTTGATGCTTCATACAAAACGCTACTGGAGAATACCTTGACTTTTTGCCTATGCATTTAGTCACAGGTAAGAAAAATGTCTGAAAGATTAATTCAAGTGAATGTGCATCATGTGTGTTATTTGAAGATGCTGTTCCTGGTATACAATGACTGAGCAAATGCCAAGATCCTTAGCTCTGCCCATTGTATACCACAAGAATCCAAAATTACAAACCAAAGATAATGCACACAGAGAGACATTGAAATACTTAATTTCAAGACTCTATTTGTAAGCCTCGTAGTAATTTGTAAAAATATTTCTGATTTTTATAAAGAGGTAATCCATCTGGAATTGGTCTCAGATATATTTTTATAGTTAAAATATTTACCTTTTCTATGGGTATTTTAGACATGTACAATTTCAGAAAGCAGATATTTTTTCTCTCAGATTGTCAACTTTATATTTGTAGAAATTTTTGAGAAACTAAAGCCTATTTCTGTGTACTTTCATCTGGTAGGGATTAACAAAAATATTCTTGAATATTCTGGGGGGAAAGGTTCCTATTGTTCATAGAAAAATGCATGGATCGTTTCAATATAAAGATGCTGTCAGGGATAATTATGTTACTTTGCTTTCTTATTTTCAAGAAATGTTAAAGACTTATTTTGAATACCTAGTGAATGTTAAGCCAACAGTTGTTGCCACAATACTTAATCATTCCAATGATACCCTTTAAAATGCCATTTCAATCTGTATTTTAGGCCAAAAAGCTATTATACTGCTGCATGTGTTAAAATTCTGGGCAATTTTGAGATTATCATGATAAATCATTCCATAGAAAATGCCATGAAATTATTTCTTCTGATACCAGCAGCCCCTTGCCTTAGAGACCAGAACAGCAGAACATTTCTATAAAGCCATGGAATTGTGCAGAAAATTGTTACGAAACTTTAAAACAAAATTGATAGTGCCTTTCTCTCCCAAAACTGTTAGCTTCCAAGAGCTAAAGAAGAAATGAAGCTGCATGGATTTCTGCAGTTTTGGGGTAAACATAAGAAAAAAATGTGTAACCTGTACAATAGGCTTAACATATCTGATGTAACCTCCCCCAGCAAAGGAACAATAACTGGAAATGGGCGGGGGGGGGCTTTAAAAAGATGCTATCCTTGAAAATAAGCCATATGCTTCTCTTGGTTCTGTTCTCTTTTAGAAAGGGCAGCGGGGGTTGGGGTGGGGTACTCACCACTTTTTATTGCCTAAGTTGTCTATAGGCAATTTAAAACCTACCAGGTACACTGGACTGCAGTTCACACATTCTAACCGGATACGATGGACAAAAAGGATTGTGAGAAGTTGTGATCCATGAATCTGAGGACATCATATTGCCCATCTCTGTAGTTAAAATATCCTGAAAAGAGTAATTGGATTCTGGGAATGG